TTGAGAGTTTTCGGTTCGGTTACGTATTGCTGTTCTTCAAGAGTTAGGTGAGTCCAGTTCCTGATGTTTCTCAACCAAGATAGTTTCTTCCTGCAGAGACCTCTCTTTCCTTCAATCTTACACTTAACTATCAATTTTAAGACGTGGTATTTTTCATTTCTCATTATATGCCCTAAGTATGATGTTTTCTTGCTTTTATTATATTTGAGCAATTCTCTCTGCCTATTCTGATGTTGACTTCGGTATTTGTGATATGGACTGTCCATGGAATTTAAGCATTCTTCGATATATCCATGTTCCGAACGATTCGAGGCGATTGACTTGAACTTTCAGTGTCCGTGTTTCTGCTCCGTATAATAGGATTGATAACACTTAACGAGCCTAGTTCTCAACTCTAGGTCCAACCTGGGGTTGTGGAAGACGTTCTTCATTTTAAAATGCATTTCTCGCTTGTTCTATTCTGGTTTTTTATTTCCACGTCGTTGTTCATGGTGTTAACTATCCAGGACTTCAAATATTTGAACTTGTAAACCTGTTCTAAGGTATTTCCCCTCTATTTTAATAGAATTAATTTTATTTTGGTTCTTTCAAATATCTTGACTTTAGTTTTAAGAGAATTGATCTTCATCCAATATTTCTTACAGGAACCTTCAAGTCGTTCCACTAAACTCTGGAGACCAGTATCAGAATCGGCAATAAGAACTGTGTCATCAGCAAATCTAATGTTGTTAATGACTTCGCCGTTGACTTTAATACCGCAATCTAGAGAAAGCTTCCCGAAAAATCGACTCAGAATAAACATTAAAAACGAAGAGACAGCCACGCCCTATGCTTGGCTCCCAGTACAAACAGAGATAGCGATTACACAAAAAACAAAATGCTCTAGAGACCCGAGGGGTACAATGTGATTTTTATTTAGCAATAGCTTCTACAGCTGCTGCACCCTACAGGGTGTTACATAGTTCGGGCAAAAAACTTAAAACTTCGTCTTATTGTTGTGTCAATTATATGCTCAAAATATGCAACATCCAGGAAAGATATCAATAACATTTAAAGAAAATATATTTCAATATAATAAAATCATCAAAAGATCTAATGAGTGGTTTGCGAGAAATCCAACTTTGAAATTGGGATAGTTTTTAGTGGCCCGGTTTTTGCCGGTTAGTGTATAATATTTGGGTCAATAAAATATTTCTACCAGCAGAAAACACTTGGGAGAACAAGTTATTAAGAAACATATATGTATAGCGAAATACGAGTCAAATGTCAAGATACAGATTCCTAGTTTCTATATATATGTAAAATACCTGAGTGTCCCAGGCTGAGAAGTGCATTTGAAGTTTATAGAAATTACAATATCTAAGATCTGGAAGGACTTTTGCACATTATTTTTTCCTGGCTGAGATCTAGCGATTAAAAAATATTTCAATATAGCAGCACTTCAGAAATATCGGAGTTGACAGCAACTCTTATTTTAAATGGGTATCCCATTTTTATTACATATTCAAATTCTCTGGCAAAAATTTTATGATTTTTGACATCGGCATTCTATACCTAACATTAACAGTTTTAAAGATTTTTTTAGCGTAAGAAACGTCAAATGTAGTGATTACCACAGCCACTCTGTCATAAAGAGAAGACATATGGCTATCTATTTCAAAATTAAATTATTCGAATGTAATATAATATTATCCCGTAACTGTCATGGAATTAAACTGATTAACAAATTTTCATAAATGATGTTTTTAAGTAAAAACTTACTTTTTATTTCACTAGTGAAAAGCTTTTCAATACGTTACTTTTCAATATGTTACTTTGTATACATGTTCCTATACCTAAAATAAATCGTTATTATAAGTTGGTATTGGATTTAGTGTTAAAGCAATATTTTTCTTGATTTTATCACAACCTCCTTTGATATTAAGTGTCAAACAATCGAACAATTTAATTCCTTCTGTCAAAACTAATTATTTGAATTTCATTATTAAAATATGCTGAGGTGTCTGCCCAGAACTTTGCAGCATTGTGTTTATAAAATATATCTACGTATTTTTGCTCTTTAGAGATATCATTAGTTGATATAATAAATATAGCGTATGATCAGAAAAGAGTAAATTGGCTTAAAATGACGATCGATGAAATATTGATTTTAACAAATGTCATTATGACGATACCAGATATTGTTTTACGTCGCTTGACGTTTAAAGTAATAGGCTACTGGTTAAAATCAAAGAAAAATATAAACTTTAAAACTAAATCTTAAATAACTTTACGAAAAACTTTAGAGTATGTAATATAAAATTGAAATAAAACTTACTATCAACTTCCAGTATTTCGGATTTTGGATTTGTTCTGAAAAATGTTTTAATCGATAGATCTCATTTATTGAAACAATGATAATATATATCCCCAAATCTAGACACTGAAGCTATCTAAGAAACTTCTAATGCACGCTTTCAGCCTGGGACACCCTGTATATGGTAGTAGCGAAATTTAAGTGTGGCCAGTAGTTTCTAAGACAAGTATAGGTGCTGATGTAGCGTATATGAGCATATATGCAAATATTTTGGCACCCTGTATGTCATAGTAACTGTGTTTAGGTATCGAACAAACCCTTGACCATCGACGTACCAGACCTTATCGAGTTTTTTAACTACAGGGCGGCGTCAAAACAACTGAGGCCCCCGACGCTCTTAGAAAAATGGTAGTTAAAAACAACAAAATCTTATTGTATTTGTCTACGTTGGCGGTGTGCGTCCGTTTTACTTATTATACCTGTGTAATTTCTTTATCCAAAATTATCATCATCGCGCTATGAAGATCTACGTCCTAAATGTCTATGTCGATCTTGGATTAAATTTAAAATATTAAAAGGTACTACAGAAGTAATAGCTATAGTTACACCAATTTGAAATTTTATAAAATTTAAAATGCGAGACAAAATATTCATGAATTTTTTTTTTTTTTAACAATTACTATTCATATAGTTATTTTTAAATCACGATATAACAAATGTAATACAAACACTAAAATCGTATAAATATTACCAAATACTTGCCAAATTAAAACTTAAACTCTAAACAGTAGTAGGTAAAGAGTGGGGAAAAGTAGTCCATTATTACACTAGTCCGAAAAGAATTTTCAAAATAAGCGTTCGGCATTTTAACGTTTTATATAAAACTGGCTAGGTATTTTACACAAAATGAAGAGGAAATTAAGATAAGGGATTATACTATATCCGCATTGCTGTTACTTTAGACAACTTCTTTATTTTTTAAGATCTTGATCGTCAAACATCAACAAAATGTTTGGACCAAATTCTCGAAAATAAGATATAATTTAAAATTCCGTTACAATACGGAATAGATTGAAGTTTTGTGATTACAGTGATATATGAACATATGGTTTTATTCAGAATTGCTTGCTATTTTATGGCAAATGCTGAAACTCTGAAACCTTAATTATTGTAATCAAAATCGCGATGAGTGTTTGGAATTTTAGGTGTGGCTTGCTGAACACGACAGGATCAGGCTAAACCTTATGCAGATTTCTGAATTATAATATATATTTCCTTCGACCATACATACACCCGCTTTACCCAACCCCTAAGAGCGAACAGTACAGCGTAATGAACTCTTAACCGGTTCCAACGCATATCGGAAATATAACAAAAAACTCAGACAACCTTTTTTTTTAACTTTTATTTTTTCTATATTTATTGGTCAACTCTACACGTGTGGAAGATTACGGTAATCCAATATTAATAAACTTTCGATAATAGACCAATAGGAACGCAGTCGCAACGGCATGCGGCAGTTCAATAGCTGACTGTGACGTCACGACGATACTTGCGCGTGCCGAAGTAATGTCAGTCTTTCCGCCATTTTTATGAATTAGAATTATGGAAGGTATAAAAAGGGATTTTTTTTTCAATTTTCAGTTTTCAATTTAAAAAAAAAAAAAAAAAATAAACGTAAAATATAGGTGCATTTCGTAGAAAGGAAAATATCGCGAATAAACGTTAAGTCGTCGCGTTCGCTCGACCAAATACAAAAATACTTATCGTTAAGATTCGCAAGTTGTTGGAGGAGAATCTAGAAGGAGAAAAAGGTGGCGACAGTCCGCTGATAGGTGGCGCGGACGGTCGATATCGTAGGGATCTGCGCTGGACGCCGAGCGCTGGGTTCGGTGTTCGCTCGGCTCACCCTGCAGGCTACGACCCGGATGCTCCTGCAACAAACAGAATATATTTTCTATATTCACATCACATAAAAACTCGAAGAAGTATATTAGGTATACCATGCTGGCAACTGTTACTCTTGGGTCGGTATTTGCGTGTGAGGAAGTAAATCGCATAGGGATTAAGTCGAAGTGAGAGAAATGCGACGGTGTGCTGTTGGGGAGTTGCCTGTAAGCCTTTCCCTATCAATAAAAAGTAAAATCACGATCGCAAACCGCTTATTTTTAAAGACCTTTTTTCGAAAAGATAACTAGATAAAATCATTAGATATGTTTCTGAGCATCTGAAATAGAATTATAAGGATATTGATAGGGTGTCCATTTTTTTATAACGAGTAAACATCAGTAGTTAATCGCGATAAGTAAAGCCCTAACGCGACCACCGAGAACTTGAAAGATTCTATGTAAAATTCTTACTTAAAAGATAATGTTTAGTGAAGTACTTTTTTTATTTATAAACATTTATTTAATTATTTTTTAGTATTTGTTCTTATAGCGGCAACATAGATACATTAATGTGTGAAAATTTCAACTGTCTAGCTATAACGGTTCATAAGATAGACCTTTGTGACGGACGGACGGACGGACGGACGGACAGCGAAGCCTTAGTAATAGGGTTTCCGTTTTTACACTTTAGGTACGAAACTCTAAAAAACAACTCGTATTAAAAAATAGGGGTTGATGGTAGGAGGGTGAAAATTTAGGGTAGTATGTATTAATGTATTTTTTAATGGCAACTCATAAAAAAAATAAAAATAAAATTTTTTGTCAAAAAAGTAAAAAAGAAAATTGGTTTAGACCACCCTTATTATTTATATGTCTAAGTCTAATTATTGAGTGTTAAAAAATAATTTTGCTCTATTTTAAAAATAGCAGAATATTTTATTCAATTCGGTATTTTATTTTTTTGTTTGTCCTTTTATGTCCATTTACGGTAACATCATTTCTGCAAAGTTATTCGACAATAGCGGGTTATTCCATATTCATAAGTTGTCTCTCGTATTTGCATTATGTTGATGGAGCAAAAGCTGCCAAATTTCAGAATTAATTCGCTAAAATTTGCTTTTAAATTATTATGTTAATATTGTGCATATATGGAGAAGAAAGCTCATAATAAATTCTGGAAATCATATTTACAAGTAAAACATTGAAACACTCAATATTATCGTATCTAAACGGCAATAATTTATCCATGAAGATATTTGAAAAATTGCAATTTCTCACTTGTGCAGATATACAGGGTGAGTCTTAAATAATTGTAAATGTTTTCAGGGTTGGTAGATCTCGATAAAAGAAACATATTTTCTCTTTACCATTTTTCAGGTAAGTCCAAAATAACCGAGTTATTTAAGTTTAAAAATTTAAAAAAAAATTATTTTTTTTTAAAATTTTAGAGGCCACCGGATTTTTATCCACCACCACCTCAACTCAAGGCCAATCAACATGATATGGGCAATGCAAATATGGCGGCGAAGGCAGCGCATTATTAAATTGTTTACCTTTAACCTGAAAAGCCGGTAGTGGTTTCTCGTTCCGATTGCATACGACAAATAACTAATTATCTCTAGTTTGTTGTGCTTCTGCAACACGTTTGTTTAGTTCTTAGTGTTCAGTGCATGGTGTGATCAGAAAATTGTGATAAAATAAGAGTGTGATAAAAATCCAAACCAGACATTCCACATAGGGAACTTCAACTTCAAACTTTTGTGCTTGTCGTACTCCTGTATTATTAATTATTTTAAGGTAACAACTAGAAGTATTTATCAAGATATTACACCTAAATGAGTAAAAATCATTCACCGCCAGTCTGCATAGTACTTTATAATGGTTACTTACAATAATCAAAAGGTAGGTATTAAAGGATTAACATTTTATTGTGCCTTTACATGCCTTTTACATGCTCTGTTCCAAATTGTCACGGGAATTATAGAGGGGGTACCAAGGTTTCTGCTTTTATATTCCCCAAAAATGACGAGCTTCGTAAAAAATGGTTGACAGCTATTAAAAGAGATAATTTCACTCCTACTAGTAGTTCTCGGGTAAGAAGTGCATTAAATATGCCTCAAAAAGGCCAAAGGCCGAAGCTTCTGTTACCCTAGTGAGGCTAGTGACCCTAGTGACCCTAGTGAGATGTCACCCTAGTGACCCTAGTGAGTTATGGCTACTGCTTACACTTACCTCACTATAAGTAAAATATTGGAAGAAGAATCAAACTTTTTACATCAAAAAGATTACAGAAAGATATTGACAACACTGAGATTTGAAAATATAAATGGCCTGGATGTAAGTCTTTTTTTAGGTCACAATTGCCCCGCACATACGTCAGAATTTATTTTTAAATCCATCTTGTTCAGAACTATATAAAGTTTCTTTCTATATAAAATCTTGAAACACATATTATATTTTTTAGTTATCCTCACCTATTATAGTTTAACTTTATTCCCATTTGTGTAATGTTGCAAAACATAGAAAAAATATTCCATATTTTTTGATCCAAGCCAGTGTAGTTTATAATTCCAAGAGCATTTACCAAGGCTTTTACTAAGACAAGTAGCTTCCTATACTGTCCATAATAGTATATATTCATCAAACGTTCAGTAAATTCTAAACTATGGTAGGTAAGTAAGTGTTTGCAATTGAATATTTAGTTTATATTGTTATTTTCTGTCATATATTTCTGGTTATTTCTTTTTCCGATGATTTTGAACACCCTATATATGCTACCTCAAGTTTGAATATTTTAACACTACCTATTTTCTGAGAAAGCGGACCTTTTTATAAAAAGTAACTAACTGATGTTTTCATAAAAGTAATAATACAAAAAATTCCATACTTATGTGGAGAACTCTAGATATTAAAAAATTAGTGAAATATTACGTAATCTAACCCGACATTTGTGTGAAAAATGTCTATTTGGAAATAAAACAGGGTTTAAAATACGCGTCAAATAGAGCACTTCTATCTCCGCCATATTGGAAAAGGTTGAATGGCCTTGTGTGGAGATGGTGATGTAATATCAGAGATTAAAAAATTTCCGGTGAACAGGTAGTTCTAAAAAATTTTCGAAAAATATACAGGGAAATTTAAAAGAAAATACACGATTATCAACATCTTTTTTTGCGAAAAAAACCTCATAGACCTGGGGTCCCTCATGTTCCTGGGGTCGAAATATGCCAGCCCTGAAAATATTTACACTTATTTAAGACTCACCCTGTATATATTATAAGATACTTGAACCTTATAAAATACTTGAAATGACTAGTGTTGCTGTCCAGTACTTGGTTGATTTCATTACAGAATTCTTCTACTTCCTCGTTCGAGGGACTAATTGTTGGAGCGTATGTTTGTACCACTTGCAAGCAATATTCTCTGAGATACCTGTTGTTTTATTCCTTTGTCTTTCCACTTCTTGATCAGAAATCCTATGCCGCTTATTCGTGGATGACAAACGTCTCGGATGTACATTTATATAGTATGTTTCAAAATGACTAAGAGCACAGCGAGTAGGGCTGGGGCCATAAAACACCACAAACATAATCATAAATCATATGCGTTACAACTTTTTCAAATTCCATCAGCCGACTTTTTATTTAATAACATAAATTGTTTGCCCATGAATGAGCCCATAATAGATTACAAAAAAAAATTGTTCGCTTTTTTTACGTTGGCTGATCGTTCTCTAGTTATTCTGTGGTATAATAGCTACCTGTTCATTTTATGGTTATCAACCCCGCCAATTTATATCTGTAAAAATATATTTAAATATACCTGTCAAAAATTACGTACATTCAGTATCTTTGTATCTACCGTATCTACCTTGCTGTGTCATTTGCAAACATGGAGATATTTATTCCAAGCAAGATAGATGGTATTCTTGATTTAAGAGCGAAAACTATACTTTTAAATGTTCATGATTTCTGTGTGCATCAAGATCCCTTGGCAACTGTGAATAGTCTAGTTACGAAATTTTCAAATATTACGGGAGTTGGTAAAGCTACGATTTATAGAGTTCTGAAAGAGAGAAATAGTGGAACTATTGGTGAGATTGTTGAAGTTGTGAATGACTGTTCTAGAAGCATCATAAGGAGAAATGTGCATGCCTTTTACTTAAACAAGGAAATACTAACTCTCGATAAAATTCAGTGTTGTAAATGAAGACTAAAACTTGTCGGACATGGAAAGAAAAAACTTTGGTCGACTTTAAAGAAAATGAAATCGTGGGAAAAGTACAACCGGAAGTCTGTACTCAATAACAGAAGACATATTCTTTTGAAGAAGGCAATATCTAAGAGACATTCGTAAATATCGCAGGAAAGGAAAATCTATCTTCTACCTAGACGAAACATGGCTGAATTAAGGACATTCTGTTAAGAAAATCTGACAAAGCGTTTTTAAAAGGATTATCGACTGGTTTGAAAACCCCTTCCGGGAAAGGACGCATGCTAATAATAACGCATATTGGGGAAGGTAATGGATTCGTACAGAATTGACTACTGCAATTTGAATCTAAATCGACCAAGGATTATCATGAAGAAATGATGGCTGATGCTTTTGAACATTACTTACTTTTACAAGATTATTATTTTCCCAAATGATAACATTACTTCCAGAAAAATCTGTCATTGTTATGGACAACGCCAGTTATCATTCGAGATTAGTAAAAAAATTGCCAACCGCTTCTTCAAACAGAAAACATCATAAACATTAACGTTTCTTTTCTCAAATTGCGTGGCAACTTCCAGGAGGGGCGCGGGCCTCCCCTGTCTCCCCTTCGCTACGACCATGGGTGACATCGTTTGAAACTTTATGTCGGAATTGGCAAAGTAACCTCAAAAAAATTACATAAAAAACTACTCTAAAAAAATTACGAGTTCTACCTAGTTAATTTGCGTTTATTCGATGTCTTATCACTGAACAAATTCTAAAAATACGTTGTTGTCTTAACAAAAAAAAATGTTCAGCAAATTTAAAAGACGTAGCCAAAACAGGAATATTTCTATTCTTAATTCGCGCGTTTGCTTGTTGGGTTTTTCAGAGGTAACTTTTATTAAGTGCATAAAGTGTGAGAATGGTTTATTCTCTTCAAGGAAGAACTGAAATTATTTTCATTTATGGAAAGGTTGGAACGTGCGCACGAAGGACGGCATTGGTTATCAATGAAATAAATCAAAATCGTGAGGTAAGTGCTGGATTTGGTGACAAAGTTCTCCGAAACTGGTTCGGTGAGTAATAGAAAAAGAAATAACCTACCAATGATGAACGAAGAAGCTCAAATTGAGGGTTTGAAATTATTTGCTGCAGAGTCCACCAGCTCCTTGCGGACAGTAGCACAACAGACAGGAATATCACACGAGACTGTAAGAAAAACAGTGAACATGCAGATACTTCAAGAACTCGATGACGATGATTTTGATAGAAAGAAAAAAGTGAAATCATGAGTCGTCAAATCAACGCTACAACCCTAACATTCTGCCAAACATCTGTTTCCGATGAATGTTCATTTTCTCTAAATGGAAATGTTAACAAACAAAACTGTCGGTATTAGAGTGATGAAAACCCGCATATTTTTGGAGAAGGGCATACACAATATCCCCAAAAAGTTAATGTTTGGGCTGGTGTTCATGGAAATGCCATTATTAGTCCTTTATTTATTGTGGAAACAGGTGATGTGTATCTTAATATGCTTCAAGAGACTATTGATCCTCTTATCACCCAAGAGCTAGAAACTCAAATTGGTACAGAGGGTAATCCAGTTTTACAGGAGGAATTGTTAACATTTCAGCAGGACGCCGGACTGTGGGCTCCACCAGTGGCGGATACAGAGGGAGGGCCCATGGGGCCCGGTTCTTTAAAAAGGAGCCCGGTTCCCTTGTTCTTTAAAAACAAAGCATGAAAAATAGTCAAATACAACTTCTATTTTTAATTTCTTAATCTAAATAAGTGCCATACAAATATTGATAAAATAATTTAATATACCTAATATACATATAATAGGTATATAGTTTTTATAGTACCGTATGATCGAAAAGAAACGGCATCAGCGATGGATATGAAATAAAGATCGGTGTCATTTTATATGTAAATTTATATGGGAAATATCATCAATCGTCATTTCCCAGCCAACTGGACGCCGTTTTTTCTATCATACGGTAGATATATGTACAAATATTTTATTCAAACATAAATATTATTTTCTCTATTTGTACCTTGTACGGAGTGATCAACAATGATAGGATGACTATTTATCAGCTGTGATTACTAACGTCAAAACAAACTAAAAATTAAATAAAATGATAAGATTTTGACGATAAAATTCGATTTCCATAATAATGTGAGATAATCAAAACGAGATGAGAAATAAATGGATTTAATTGGTTTTAAAAGTTTTCTAATTCAGTTATTGAATAAGTGTATTAAACAATATAGGTTGCGTACATGTAAGAATTTTTAATAAAAAAACGCATCTTAAGTATGACATGGTCTCGTACACTTTCGATCAATAATTTGTCGGACATGTTTAATGTAAAACCGGCTATCAAAACCGCTCCACTAAAAACAGTCCCTCGGCGTAGGCTATTCGTCCCCCTCCCAGCATTCTCTGGTTTCGCCGGATGGTCGTCGGGTACCGACGATACTGAGGACTGGACGCAGTCGACTGGTCTAAAGGTACATTCAAGCTGAGAGCGTCGAGCGTCGCGTCGCGTTTGCGTCGCGTCCGCCCCATCGAACTTGAACCCCGACGCTCAGCGGACGCTAGCGCAACGCCAAACGCGACGCTGTCTGCTTGAACGGTCTAATTTAAGTTAAGTGAATTGATTCCATTTCGACACGCGGACACGACGCAAACGCGACGCGACGCTCGTCGCTCTTAGCCTGAATGTACCTTAATGCAGTGCGCGGGCTTACATTTATTTCAATGTAAACTGAAAATCACGGATCGCTCGGTCCCGCCGGTACCTGTCTTTGTAAGCGCTCAGCTTAAAACTGACAGTGTATTTTAACAAAACTTAAAATAAATCTTAAAACCCTAATACCCCACACTGATGCGGTCAGTACCTTCTTACTAACCATGGATATCTTTATCGTCCTATAGTAGCTAACCATGGATATCTTTATCGTCCTATAGTGATTTCAGAAATACACTATAGTATATAATATGATGTATTATAAACATTATAGAAAACTACAGAAAATACTATTTTTGTAAGATGCTTATGCTATTTAGACTCAAAAATAAAGAATCACTTTAAAATTCTTTATAGGAAACGCCACTCATTTGTGCTTAACCATATGCATTTCTATTTTGCTTATAGTTTTGTGCAATATTTATTACAGTAAAAAAAGTTTTACATGAAGCTAGTTGCAGCACTTGCAAAGGTACGGTACTAACCTACTGTTAGACGAACCACTCGTCCTTCTGCGCGGGCCCGTCGCTCTGACCGTTCTGGGGGGCGGCGGGCGACGCGCCTCGGCCTACCCTGCCGGGCAGTAGGGGCGGTCCCGGGCCGGCGGCTTGCGGAACCCGGGCGGGCCCGCAGGGCGGCGCCAGTTTCCCGACGACGGCGGCGCTATCGTGGCGGCGGCGGCTTGGTGGTGACCGTCGGCCAGCGTCGTGGTGCTGCCGCTGCTCACCTTCACCACTTGGCCGTTGGATCCGTACATTTGACCTACTAGTGGTGGGAAGAGAGAGAGAACGGATTTGGTGAGGTGGTGGCGGATCAGAATCCGAGCTGTAAGTTTGTTACTGAACAAGAAGCGTCAGAGGGTTGTTGAATTGTTTATTGTTTCCCATAGGAGTATATCAACAAATTACCAGATTCTTTATAAGCTCTAGATAATATTGCCTAATATGAAGGTAAAACGTAAATAATATACAAATTTGATTTATATCCTAAAAGTAGTCATAGTGATATAAAATCAACCATACTAATTACTATTGATAGAAGTACTGGTACCACATGTTAGAGATGAGCAACAAATCGCAAACTGTGATTCAATCGCAGCGATTTTAAAATCGCAATTGGCTATCGTAGGAAGCTATGACTGCGATTTCTTCTATTTGCGAGTTTCAATTTAGGCAACCAATATTATCTACTATTGTTGCGAGTTGCGATTATGCTGCGATCGTGATTTTGTAAACTAGGACCGTGATAACCTTCTATCTTCGCTATTCGCGATTTTGTTGCGAATATAATTTTGTGGACCATTGAATTTTGTGGTGCAATTGAATTTTTCCTTTGATTTTATTTATTTATAGAGGGTATTATTATTCTAGCGCCAAGATCATAATATACCGGGTGTTTCTCAAGAGTAGGTCGTCCCTATAACTTTTATATTTTTTTTCCTTTTTTTATGAACAAACGAGATTTGGTATGTTAGCATATGACATAAATTAGGATTGATTGACGTATTCAATTCGTTTCGATCACTTCCTGTTTCACCGGAATTAACTACAACTTATGATTTTTAAATGGTATTTTTTTACTCGGTATTTTTTTACTTTATTCGATAGACAATGGCATATCATATGTCAGCTTTTTACATTTACGCTAAAAAAATCGTATTTTAATTTTCAATCTAGAGTGACATGGCTGTGTTAAAAACACTAATTTTTAATCAAGGATCGTCGGAAAAAAAGTTAATTGTCTATTGTATTTTGTGTGTTGTCCTGCCCGATTAAAAGATGCCTCAACCGTATTTTTAATCATATCTCAATGTTTTCAAACGGAACAAGGGTGGCTCATTAGCATATTTAGAAGAAGCATTTTTACGAATAATTTGGTACCACACATTTGGTATTTTGAGTCAAATTATCGTTATGAACCGCATGTTACAATTTTCAGTTAAACCATATGCGACAATGTCAAAAGTTGATATTATATGTCATATTATTCAGAGTCAGTCATTTTCTATCGAATAAAGTAATAAAAATACCGAGGGTGTCATTAAAAAATGAAAGATTGGAGTTGTTTCTTTATCTGAAAAAATAAAAAAGTTATAGAGGTGAGCCGTCTTAAAAAATAGTTCTTTAAGAAATGGATAAATAATTAGATAACTGAGAACCGTAGAAAGAGTAGGTATTGGTATATGTAGTTGCAGCATATTATAAAGTTTTTATACCTATACTATGTGTAGCAGATGTTAAAAAAACTTAAAAACTAAACAACTGATTTTTATTAACTTTTTTTGACTGTTAAGCTATAGGTTCGTACACAATCATATACCTAGTACAATATTTAAATATTAAAATCGCAATCGCAGGTTACAGTCGCAGCGATTTAAAAATCGCAATAGCAGTTTCAATTACAATTTTCCTCCATCTTCCACTTGTTATCAACCGCTCATGTTTATTGTATGAATGTGCCCTACCTAATTGTTTTTCTACAAGTGAAATAAATAAATTGTTATTTCTATTAATGAGGCCACATTATTTATTAAATTTTAAATAGGCTAGTGGAAGAGGATTGAGTGTACGTCATTTTTTCGTAAAATTGATTTCAACTCTTCCAGAAGATATAATATAATATACTAGTGAAGAAACGCAAGAATAAATCCAACAGTTGGTCCTGAACAAATATCTTAACTAGCGACGACTCAGAGAACCCAATTTAAATTTTATTATCGTCATTAATAGTATGCGAAAAGGTCATCATTCAACTCGGAATTCAAATGAAAAGTTATACAAGGTGTCCCAGAAATCAGTGCAAGTATTTTAACTGGTAGTATAGTTCAACCCCAGAAACACACCTCGCCTATGAGGTTTTTTTCGCGAAAAAAAAATACAACATACTTATTAAATGCTACATAGGTATTAGATTAAATTTACAAGAAAGAAAATCCAGAAAAGATCCAGTGGTCAAAATTTTAGCAAAAATTCATATTCTTTGGAAATTTTCAAAGTAAAATAACTCCCTTATTTTGGACTTGGATTTGAAAAACGATAAAGAGAAAATATGTTTCTTTTATCGAGATCTATCACCCCTTAAAATACTTGCACTTATTTCTGGGACACCCTGTATATTCGTAGGAAAAGAAAAATCATCAAAAGGATAATCTGCAATATTGATGAGTTTAAGGAAAAAGCATCAAAAGTCACACTTCTGATAAATAGTGAAAATTGCTTATAAGGAGATACAGAAATCCAGTGATTGAGTGTAGTGCAAAATAAATGTAAAGAAAAAGCTTACACAATAGTGATTTAGTGCTCGGAAATAAAGTGTCAGAAAAAGACATCAGTGTACAGGGTGGGTCAAATTCGACGCTTTTAAATGGAAACACCCTTTCCTATAGGAGATAGACGAAAACTAATATCGGTGTCTGGAGTTCAATTTTCATCAAAAACATGATGGTGAAAACCGCACATCAATATCTGTTACCGTTTCGGAGTTACGGGGAGTTTTTCAAAAATATGCATTTTTAACAAATCGCTGTAACTTTTTTGCTATGGAAAATTTTGTATTTCTATGCACCTTTTTATGTAACATTTCCAAAGCACCTTTTTATGTAGAATTCAATAGTTTAAGTATATTTTTTTTAAAATTAATAATTTAAGAGTTATCAACAGAAAAAATAATTTTTTTATTTGGGACACCCTCTATATTTTTAATTAATTGAAAAGAATTTAAAATTACTTTTCCAAAAATATAGCACACTTGATATTTTGTTATAATCCCCTTCGAAATACAGAATTTTTAAAAGTTCGCCACTTTTAACTAGTATAGGCTTTGGACCTCTTAGTGATGATCGGCCCCTAATGGAACTCGAAAACATATTTTTCCAGCAAGACGACGCACCGCCTCAGAACGCTGAAGTTATCAGCAAATTTTTGCAGCCAATTTCGAGAATAATAATTGAATAGCTAACCAAGATCCCAGCCGTTGGCCGTCGAGGCCGCCTGTCTTAGTGCCCATGGATCTAATTCTATGGATATATTTGCGGAAGAATAAAGGTTCCTAATTCTTCCGTATAATCTAGACAAGAATTAGAAATACTTAGCAGTTATGAGAGGGTATTTTTCACCTCCACTGAGTTAATGAATTCCGCGAGAAATGTTCAAAAACTGCCCCGTCTATCCATAACAGAAGACAGTCGATATGTCGAACACCTGTAGCAAAATCTTATGTCCTGATTTGCTATTTATTTTTATTGTTATTAGATATAGTTTAAATGTGTTGATGTTGGTTAAATATATTTTAAATTGTTATAAATATATTATAAAATTCACACAGCTAGAATTTTTTTGCATTACAGCCGGTGCCGTTCAAAGCCTACTTATTTAAAGCGGGCGAATTTTTATATACTCTATATCTGGAAGAAGAATCGAGCAAAATATCAAGTGTGTTATATTTTTAGAAAGGCAATTTTAAATTATTTTCAATAAATTCAAAATATACAGGGCGTCCCATATAAAAATCAAATTTTCTGTTGATATTTCTTAAATTATTAATTTTAAAAAAATTATACTTAAACCATTAAATTCTACGTAAAAAGGTGCTTTGGAAATGTTTTCATAAAAATACAAAATGCATATTTTTGAAAAACACCCCGTCACTCCGAAACGGTTACAGATATCGATGTGCGGTTTTCACCATCATGTTTTTGACAAAAATTGAGCTCCAGACACCAATATTATATTTTGTCTATCTCCTATAGAAAAGGGTGTTTCCATTTAAAAGCGTCGAATTTGATCCACCCTGTACAATAACTTACAATATATCTCTCTGGTAGGTTAATTTAAAACATAATTACTTATTTTATTGATCCTTCATTGGCTAGATTAAAGCAAACAAACTTTTTAAACGCATATTTGTCTACTCGTTCGTGGAGTAGTTTTATTAAAATAGTCTTAATAATTTTAGTTGAAGGTTTATTTTATAGGTTTACTGTTAAATTTCTAAGTCACACCGGGTAATTTTGACATACAAATTTCCTTTCGTTTATCTAATTTAAACAATATAAGTTAAACATCGTTAAGGTTAGTAACTAAGGTTAGTATTACTTGGTTAAGTGACTCTTAGGCAAAGAATATTATAGTTAACACAGAATTACCTTTGTCTTAGGTCAAACAACCATACTGTTAATTTGCGACAGTTAGTAGTATTAGAATAGCAATTTTTTAGTATAAACTTCTTGTTCAGTAACAGACACAGAAAGCAGCAATCCTTACATGAATAAGAAGCGTTTTGTTGGGCGACTGAGTTCCCTGGTCGGTGACTCCAGCCTCCTTTTCTACAAGCACAGATGGAAACGCCCAGAATGAGCATTAGGAACACCAGAAAGGTACTGATCACTACCACTACAAACCAGGTCACTTCTAGACCAAGGATGGTTCCCGTGTCGTTGTCTGAAAAGAATTAAATAACATTAAAAAAATATATTTTTTCTCTTGGTATATACACTAAAATTGCAGTCGGCATTAGGGTAATATACAGGGTATAAGTTCGAAAAAAAATCGATAGAGCTTATTGTTTTTTAAAAGACAATTGTCTGCTCGGCCCAATCATCGGTGGGCGCGTAATCAGAAGTTTCTTTGTATATTTCTATCACCGATTTGCTTGGTACGAACATCACCTTGGAACATAACGTTACATCGCCCTGATTTTAATTGTTTTAATTAATAAGGTTTACTATAAGAACATGTCTCTCTTTTTTTTTTCTTTTTAAGCTTTAAAATGATAACTTACTTTGGCAAAGATTGTTGGACGATTCATCAGAACCATCCGCACAGTGATTAATGCCATCGCATACTAAGTCGGTGGCAATACAGAACTCCCGTAGATTGCAACGGAACTCCGTACACGTGTGCTCTGAAAATTAAAAAAGAGACTTATTTTTACAAATTAAAAAAATGATCTAATGAATAAAAATTTTAAATGCATCACTCCAAAAGAGATTAATTTAATGTCGACAAAATTATTTGAAAATTTATCGATAACATACTGAAAACATCGTCTGGCATTTCAATTTCACGATTCTGTGATCCCCGGATCGTTCTTATTAGCTAGGTTTTTCGATCCCCATATCCTTAATAAATAAACTATACATATCCAAAACTAAACCAAACCAAAATCTGGGAAATTTCTCATCTGGACATTTTCAATCTAGAGTGCCATGGCTGTGTTAAAAATACTAATTTTAAATCAAGAGGCCTTGGAAAAATAGATTTAATGGTCTAATATTTTTTGTATCTTCTGGTCGGTTAACAGATGCCCATGTCATATTTTTAATCATATCTCAATTTTTTCAAATGGAACGAGGGTAGCTCATTAGCATATTTGGAAAAAGCATTTTTTATGAATAATAATGCTATTTTTTTAATTGAATATGTCAAAAGTTGGTATTTGCTATGTCATTCTATTCAGAATGTCATTTTCTATCTAATGAAGCAAAAAAATAAAAGAGTGTCATTTAAAAAACAAAAGTTGTAGTAATTTCCGTTGAAACAGGAAGTGACCGAAAAGAACTGAATACGTAAATCAATCCTAATTTATGTCATATACTAATATACCAAATCTCGTTTTTTATCTGAAACAATAAAAAAGTTATAGGGGTGAGCTATTTTTGAGACGTACCCGGTATAATATTGTTGTAATATATTTTAATTAAAAAGATATGGTAATTAGGAAGGAGTCTCGTAACCCCGTGCAACACGTGGCTTGACCTTATCCCTAAGGAAGGTGTACGTTGGTGTAATCGAGAAATTCGAGATTAATTCAAAATCCACAATAAGCTATAAACCCCAGGGACCACAAAGGGTCTATAGTAAGTGAAATAAAACCTTTTCTCTGTAGAAAAAACTCAACAGAAAGCGAGTTTACAAATTTTATGCGGGTCAAAAGACCAAGGTTAATATGCACATTTGATAAAGCAGCGTTGGGAGAAGCATATTGCTGGATCTGGCATGATCAGCTAAATCTTTATATATTTTTTTATGTATGATAGCTGTCATTTAAATTGACCCTTGTTAGCTTTTCGATAAAGCTGACAAATTCTGACAATAATGATAGTATGTAAAACCTGATCAAAAATCATGTCCATAACTCACTAAATTCAAAATATATGGACTACATACAGTTTAACCTATAAATAAACGAGACAATATACAAAATGTTTTCTTCATATAGGTTGGTATTTTTCTTTTCGTTCGTTTGTATTTTTCTTCGTAATGGTTACTTCGTATATTTTCTATGTCAAGTCTATTAGTTTTCAATCATTGGCAAGTTCCAAACCAAAAATATTTAGTAATTTGTTTGTATTTATTGGTAAAAGTTTTATATTTCCTATTGGAGAATATTTAGCGATTGCATTCTATTCTTACTGTTGAAATTTATCTATACTATAGACGTATAGTACTCCTTATTATCTTTTTATAACAAAATTTCACTCATCAGTATCTTAAGTAATTAATTCAACTGCATTTTGCGGAGATACACTTTCTGGTGGGCATGCTCCACATAGATTGTGTATCTCAAGAATCGACGGTTTGGTTGGTAAAAACGGCACCTAAGCTTAAGAATTGGCAGGGGCCGGAACTAATTACAGTGAACAGAGAAAACACACCAAAAGGGGTGACCATCACGGTCTTTCTACCGAGGGGCAAGTGGAAAGACACCACTTACCTGCTGAGCCTTTATCCAGGCTCAGAACTCCAATGTAAGGACATCGAGTGGGCGAGTCATCAACTCGAGAGAGGGAGTTCATGGTCAGGTCCTCGCAGTAGAAATTGACATCAAATCCAAGGAGGCAATAGAGAAAGAGTAATAGTAAATATCCTCTACTATAGATTCGTGACAACCTCTGTATCAGGTCTAAGAAGAGACCAAGTTAAAGAGATGGGAAAAATTGAGGCAGATCCTACGGCCTCCCCTCCACGAGTACCTTAGCCGGAGACAAGCTCATCGGCGGTAAAGGGCTCGGAGGGTCAAACCCCAACCGTGGAAGGGTGCATACCCTTGCAGGAAGAACATCTGCGATAAGAGAGGAAGATGGAATATCACCGTGCCCTCTATAACATACACTGTGCCCTCTATAACAGTAAAGTCCTCAAGTATGATGAATTATAGACTGTGTGAAGAGTTTTCTTCCTTGAAACACAATGGATCTTTAAGGACGCAGTTATTATCGTTTGTGGACAACACAGGCTTCCGACCATTTTATGTTGTGGTGCTTGGACCACACATGAACAGCAATGCCCGGTTTCATTGTTTCACCCCTTTGTGTATGTTTTTTATATTCGTCAAGTCGTACATGTAGAGGACGTTTTGTCTCTCCAATATACGACTCACCGCACTCGTAAATTACCTGGTAGATGCACTCACTTTCTTATTTTGATGATTTTGGTTTTGTTTTTGTTATGATACTTGTTCGAGTAGTCCCAAACTTAAAAATATTTTTTTCAAATTTTATACTGCTTAGCTATTCTCCTGATCTTCTCCGATGCTCCTTTCACATATGCAATCGTCAGGAGAGAGAGAGAGAGAGTATGATGTATGAATCGTCAGGAGAGAGAGAGAGAGAGAGTGTATCTCTTCTCAGGCTGGAGCACCAATACAGATCATGTGTGGTGCCAGCCACAACATAAAATGGTCGGAAGCCCACACATGTCCACAAATGTCCACACATGTCCACAAATGTCCACAAAGAACCCCATTGGAAAAAGAGCAAATTTAAAGAGGCCGTATTCATTTCCAACAATAATAAAATATTTAGCAATCCAAATATGGAAAAAACAATATGGCAACTCATAAGATGCTCCAATGCAGGTATTCTTAGTGAAGAACCTCATGCTTGACTGCACCCAACTAATTCACGGGTGAATGCTCGACTCTAGTAAATAAGCTCAGTAGTTTTAGAATTTAGTTTAGTTCATACTTGATAACGGCCAGTAATACTCCTGACCGAAACGTTGTTTAAGCAAAATAAATAAAGAGATTGCAAGTCCGAAATTCTTTTATTTTTAATACTAACCTTATAATATGTTTAACCTATCTTTACAGCTTCATGTTTTTATACGAGTTTCTCACATACAATTCGGAAGTCATTAGAATAATGCCATTGTTTATAAAATAGTTAGTATATTCTCTCGTCTGCAATAATTCAAGCGGTAGTAATCAGCACGACTCCCCTAAACACTCTATTTTTGTCTACATTAACGTGTTATACAATCAAGAATCAACTGTTAACAGAATTAATATAGTAACCCGGGCAAAGTTGGGGAAATATACATCACCGACGAAGGCAACTTTCGCAAGCCGCCGGCAACAGCTCCGCCTTATGGGGAGAGAAGCCCTAATTAATACTCGCTTGGATCTTTAACGGCCATTACCAACAACTTGAAGCTGTTTTGCTCAATTGCCAGCTATATATTTAGACAAATCGGAAGTCGCAGTGTCACAAACTACGCCTTGTTTGCATAGGAAAATGGCATTAAAGAAAGGTGAATAGAGTATATCGTTAATTGAGTTTAAAACCTATCTACATATATTGTTATACAAGAAAAAAACCTTTCCTATACAGGAAAAACTGGGTTTCTTGTAGCTAAAAGAATAAAATATGTAGTTACAATTTGTGATAAAAAAAATCCAAAGGAAACCAGGCTTATACCGTATGATCGAAAAAAAACGGCGTCAGGATTGGTTATAAAACGAAGATCGCTGTCGTTCTATACATAAATTTATGTGGGAAATGTCATTGATCGTGATTTCCCAGCCAACTGGACGCCGTTTTTTTCGATCATACGGTAACAGTAAATAAATTTGTCAAAAAAATAAAAACAGGGTTCTCAACTCTCAACTCTCCCTGCCGTCAGAATTAAAAGAAAGTAACATGTATTTAAAATGGACTAACCCCAGATATATTTTCATATGCATATTTTCATACGCATCAGGGGTTCAAAAATATCAGGGTTTCGATATGATATGCATATAATTTAGCAAGAACTTAAAATATAAACCATTAAATTTGTTTAAATTATTCAAACAGCAAAACATTAACGTATAAAATGTAACAGTGAGTCCCTTGCACGTGTCGGGTAAAATTTAACTATTTATGATTACTAACACGTTTTGAGATAAAACATGCAAATATAAAATTAGTTTATACAAATTCCATCTGGAAAGTAATTAAATTAATTATTGACGTTGTTGTAGGTGACCTGGCGTGAAAACATTCTTCTGTTGGCGGTATGTTACAGCCTCGTAGATACATAAGTTATAATTAGGTAAACCATCCACCCAATATATAATATAGGACTCACCATTAGACCCAATACAGACACACAACCATAAAAAAGAGGACCTAGACTACCCTTTCAGGGTACAAGACAAATATTCAAGAGAAACCCCGAGTCGGACGCTTTCACGAGCTTCTCTTGTCTTAATTGAAGAAGAAGCACAGGATAGGAGACTATCACCTGGCCGTATAGTTCTGGAAGCTTAGGCCGTAAAACCAATCAAGAAAGAAGAAGTAGGTAAACCATATTGTTCTTCTATCTGCTTTTTATACGTTTTATTATTTATCTGTAAATTCTTCCGAATATACCTTGTTGCTATTATATTTTAATATTCTATTTAAATTGTGTTTTTGTCAAGTGTTTTCCATTTTCCATTTGAATCATGACCAAACTTGATTATAATAAAGCCCATTCTGACAATTTATCGAAAGACAATTCGATGGTGATCGCCGACTTCAAATTTTCTTTTCAATAACACTTCCAGAGTTGCGTTAACTGAAAAATGCACAAAATTTTAAATAATTTACTGCAAATAGAAAAAAAATAACCGCTTTGAAAATCAGCTAGCATCAAGGTAAAAACCATAATCAGTGTCTACAGGATGAGTCAATGATAGAGTAAAGTCCATTATCTCATTTGTTTCGCCGTTTAGAAAAAAAAAGTTAAATATAAAAGTTATAGGGAAGGTTAAGATACCCATTTTAAAATTATTATAGAGTAAACAACATGCTTCAAAAAAGTATGGCTGATAAAACATATGTTTTTTAAATACAACACCTCATTTTTTGTTTTATTTAGAGATTCTGCGTGAAATTCCATAACTTTTTTATATATAATGTTATCTACCAAAAGTTAATAGTTTTTGTAATATTTAAATTTGTTTAAAGAAATGTTAAGTTGCAGTGTGGTAAAAATTGTTAGTGGTGCTATTGTTTCTGAAGTTGGAGTACCAAAATTTGGGAGGAGAGATTTATAGAGACGAAACAAATATATGGCGTAAATATATTTTAGTTAAATCCTACAGGGTGTTTAGAATATATTTATGAATTTCAACTAGTTAAAATTAAAAAATCTAAAATTTTTTAAATGGTACACCCTATATATTATCATTTTTTCTGATAGATTTTACAAAACTCTTCAACTTTTATTAAATAAGTCATATACCTATTTTCAATAAATTGCGATTTATTCCAATTTTTCCTATTTTTACCCATATTTTTAATACAATTAGGCTATATAATAGTTGCCATGACAAAACAAAAATATTTATTACTTATCTTTAACAAGTAGTTTAATAATTAGTTACAATTGCTATTATTATCGTTAAAATTAATTAATTTTACTCAAATAAATTAAAATCGCAGTCGTGAATTTCTTGGCGTATTTCTATATTATCACAGAGAACATTCTCTGTGATATTATGAAAGATGAGACTTGGATTTTCCGTTGGGCGAATGGCCACAGATTAGGGTAATACTAGATTATCTAATTGTTGACGACTACTGATTTTACTACGGAATTTTCTTCGACATACAGTAATTCTTTTTCTCGTAGTAATTCTGGTTTATAATGCATTTCGTAAAGCCAATATTACTAGTGCAGCAAACCGTCCCATTACACACACACACATATATATATATATATATATATATATATATATATATATATATATATATATATATATATATATATATATATATATATATATATATATATATATATATATATATATATATATATATATATATATATATATATATATATATATATATATGTATATATATATATATATTGTCCTTGTGGTTGACTGGTCAGCGATGCTTTCACGGTGGAGTTATCAACACAAACCATGTTTAATGTAGTTTTTATGAAGGTATTTTCTGTACCACGTTAAGTAAGTCTTATTCTTAACTTTTATAACAGCAATTGTCTAACTTGTATTTCCATTTTAGTGTCCTGAGGAAGGAATAAATAAATTCCGAAAGCTTGACAATTAACAAAGTGTATTAATTCTTTGTCAAACCCTTCCGACTGCAACCCCACTAAATCCCAGATTTTCTTTCTCACTAGTCAGTCGAGACTACTTTCTGCTTATATATATATATATATATATATATATATATATATATATATATATATATATATATATATATATATATATATATATATATATATATATATATATATATATATATATATATATATATATATATATATATATATATATAATATGAAAAAGTTTTCTGGATAATCTACATCTATTCTTATAGTACTTAACAAAGTACTATATAATATATAGTACTGCACCAAAAAATATGTTTTTTCTTGGCTTGTTCGTGTATATCACTCACATTGACTAATTCGTTTTCAAGAAGATCTGTAACTTACCTATCTTTACCATTTATACTTATAATAATACATAAACTAATATTCAAATTTTTAGTTGATAACTATCACTTTTTGTCATGGTAACTATGATGTTATAGCCTAATTGTGTTAAAAATATGGGTAAAAATAGAAAAAATGGAATAATTCACAAACTATTAAAAATAGATATATATCATACTTAATAAGTAGAAGAACTATCAGAAAAAATGAAAATATATAGGGTGTACCATTTAAAAAATTTGAAATTTCTTAATTTTAAATAGTTGAAATTCATAAATATTAACCAAAATATCTTTACATACGTCTTTTTCTATATCTCTATAAAATTCTACTATCAAATTTTTGTTGCCCAACTTCAGAAACAATGATATCACTAACAGTTCTTTACCACACTGCAGTCTAAAATTTGTTTAAACAAATTTAAATTAAAAAAACTATTAATTTTATGTATATAACATTATATATAAAAAAGTTGGAATTTTACGCAGAATATAAAAATAAAATAAAAAATAGTACCGTATACTCTATAATAATTTTAAAATATGTATCTTAACCGTCCCTATAACTTTTGAATTTAATATTTTTTGTAAACCTCAAAACAAATGAGATAATGGACTTTATGGTTGACTCACCTTGTACATTATAAGCTTAACATTCTTACCTAAAAATATGTTAGTAATCATAAATATTAAAATTTTACCCGACACAAGCAAAGTCCCATTATCTAAATAAAATACCAATAAATATTAATATTAAACATATAATATATTTAGAATTACCATCTTAGAATTATTTGCCCTCCCCCCCCCCTTCACAAGAAAACCACTAATAAATACTTACTGGGGTCCTTTACGGCCGTTATTACTAGCTTGAAGCCGTTGGAATCCGTGCCCCAACTGTCGGTGACGTATTTGAGGGTGACATAATTGGTTCGAGTAAACATAGCGCCTAAAGTCTGTTTCGTGTTCTTGCAAGACAAATCAAACTGAAACAGAAATAGATAACAATAGATATTAGTATATGAATGAATTCCCAGCAAGATCTATTTGTTTGGGGTATTATATTACGTTAAAAATTATAATTAAGTTTGGTTTTTTGTGTACTGTGAGTTTTGATCGATGTACTAGAAACTAGTGATGGGAACACCGGTTCCACGTGAGTCGCATTACAATAGCGACCGTTCCAGAAAAATGCCGTGACAAAATACCGCGATTTTGTAAGCGAGGTTCCGACTTCCAAAGTGTTGCGGTCTTCGCTAAAAATATATCTAACTTATCTATATTTGTAGATTAATGTAACTTTTATCCGCCACTCATTTTCCAAATATCGAGTTTATAATTGTGTATAGCCAATCTATCTCATTTTTAGAAAAACGATGACATTCCTTGTTATTTTTTTTTTCTTATCAATTTTCGTTTAAATAAAATGAACGCCTCATATTTATGTGTATTGCAATATAATATATTTAATGTTAAAATCGAGAACAAAGTCCAAACCACTGTCAAAAAAAATATTTATTGGTCTAACCTAACCTTAAAAATCGATATAAACAATAAAACTTATATAAATGTATAAAAGCAAATAAAATATTTTTATTTTATTTTGTTTGCTTTTGCGTTTCACCTTTCAAACAACACTATTTTATACCATGCCTACTACATACCAAAAATCGCTATTTCGAAAGTAACGTAGCGACGGGAGCACCAACGCCAATAGTAACAGACCAAATAGCGACAGGCAAAACCGAAACCCTAGAAACGCTCCAGCGACTGCTGGAACGAAGTACGTGGCAGCCGAGGTCGAGCGTCGATAATCAGTTACAGCAGTTACTTCTATTCGCGACAGGGAACTAAAACTCTAGGAGCGCGACGGCTGGAGCGAAGTAGGTCGCCGCCGAGGTCGAGCGTCAATGCCCAGTTACAGCAGTTCCTTCTGTTCGTGACAGGGGATTACAACTCTAGGAGCGCGACAGCTGGAGCGAACAGCGAACACGTCCCGACCGAGATCGCGCGGCGCTACGAACATACCAGTTCCAGATACTACTGTTGGCGACCGACGAAATCGCGACGGCTGGAGCTAAACACGTCGCTAGGCGGTTACTACGGTTCGAGCTAATTTCAAGTGCGATTATAAATAATTTATTTGCAAATTATAAATAATTTATAATTTTGTCGTCATTATGATCGTCGTTCTTCAGTAACAGGTTCCTGATTCGTTGTGGAGCGCGACACGACGTTACAAAAAATACCGAAATACCGTACGAAAGAAAATACGAAAGACCGTACGGCAAAGATAAGCAGATATTTTGTTTAAATTGTTGTGCTATGAGAAACTTATTTACTTATTAGTCTAATTTTATAAAAAGATTCCAAAGTGTGCACCAATTTATAAAATGAACAAAAAGAAAAAAAAAGTTTTTTGAACCGTTAATTAGAAATATCGCGACTTATAATATTGTGTAAATTTTTAAAATTATCATAGGCTTCGTCAAACTTAAGAAACAAAAAACTTAAAGGAAAACAAAAGGAAATATTTAAAAATTAAACATTCTACAGTAGAGGTGGGTAAAGATTGAACTGGGAAATTGGGTGGGAAAAATTGATTTGGTCGTTCATTGATGTCTCCCTGTTATGTGCTGTATTTAACCGCCGTTTACCTACCACTTCCCTAATGTCGTCCACCCAACGTTTCTGTGGACCTCCCACACTTCTTTTAGTTTGTCTAGGCCTCCACACTGTTTGGCCGTATAGAATAACAGTGTGGAGGCCTAGATTCAATAGAATAATTAGAAGTAATTTTCTAATTAAATATCATTTAAAAAGCACTTAGACCGTGCACACACGGGTCGTCTCAACCTCGAAGCGGAAGCGTCTCAAACTCTATTTCCTACGTAAATAATAGTAGATCCACGAACGGGTCGTTTGGCGGTCGACGCGGAGTCGATGTGGTTGGTATTATCATTTACATATTTACATACGAAGGTAGAGTGGAGGGAGATTCGGTTGGAGTTTGAGATGCTTCCGCTTCGAAAGCCAGACGACCCGTGTGCGGATGCTTGTAATCTCTGCTAACTGTAATATCTAGACTGTAAATTTTTTGCTGCTATGTTAACGGACCCTTTTTCAATGCGTCTGATTTTTGTTTATTTTATTATTTCGGTTATAAAAATGTTGCAATTAGTTTAAAATATATTTAAAAAAAATTGTGTGCACTATGAGCGCATATTTGAAGTTAAACTTCTTACTAATAGCTATTAAATTGTAGGTTTTGAAGGACATGTTCGGAAAAGTTTAGTTTGGAATATTGAAAAAGTCATAAATTAAAAAAAATATTTTTTTACGCGTAAAAAATAGTTTTTTGCGTATAACAAATAATTTTTTACGGGTAACAAATAGTTTTTTACACGTAATAATTTGACTCGCCTTCATAAAATTTGTATTAAAATATAAATATTTTGATAAACTCGTGGACTGCTCACAAATTGCGTCACTACGTATTTCTAAGCCGTAGGGCTGTCCTTACCACTTTTTCGATCGTTACCACTAGCTCGTGTGTCACGGCCTTGAATTTTTACTTTCAGCGCGCGTGAAGAAGTTTCACTTCAAAAAATTTATTAAGGTTTTTTAATCATTAATATGAATTTGCCACCAAATACACACACTACATTATACCGTATGACCGAATAAAAACGGAGTCCCGTTGGCTGGGAAATGACGATCGATGATATTTCCCATATAAATTTACATATAAAATGACAGCGATCTTCATTTCATAGCCATCGTTGACGCCGTTTATTCTCGATCATACGGTATTATTCATATAATTATTTTATTAATTAATCATTTTATATGCATAGCACTTAATATAGATTTAAACAATTCTCACCCGTATAGAAAATTAATTTAACCGATATCAAATGAAAAAATTACACTTTAACTCATAAATCTATCAAAAATAGAGAAGCTGCGGTGGGAGGAAACATTAAACATGACAAACGTTTAAAGTTTACTATAGTTCCGCTCTGTTCGGTAATATATCGTTAATTTTGCACTTGGCTACAGTTGGTTGTTTAATTTTCCTGTGCTACAAACATTAAATATGATAAAGTTTTAAAGTTTTTTAGTTTTGCGGAGATCGTAGTAGTAATTTCCTGGGGTTATTTAAGCGTTATTAAATTAAAAATTAATTCTACCACTTGGCATGCATAAGTTAATTAAATTTTGCAATTTTCGAGGGTAAATTAGTTTTCAAAATGCAGAATTTTTAATTAGTATTAATTAGATTGATATAAACTTTTGCGTTTAAAATGCATTTCAATTAATCAAGACCTTTTTAATTAAAATAATAATTTAACATAATCGGTAAATAATAAAAAACCGGAATAATAATTGTTTTAACATAGATTCTCAAAACCCGACATTATATAACATAAGATAATCGCTAAGTAGGTACGTAGATTTTAAAGCAAATGTGTTCGTAAGCCGATAAACATGGTACGAATAAACTGTGGGTATATTGTGGTTTCACAATTTTTTTGGGTATGATGAACATTTATTTATATGGAATTGATCTTTTGTTTTTATTATATCAATTTTATATCAATTTAAAAAATTCTTATGATATAGTTTTAGATACTTTCATATTTAGTATCATAAAATACTGAATTTTAATATTAAAATGGTCGATTTCGTTCAAATTTCCAAAAGTTTTTAGTTTTCTTTATGTTATAGTTATTCTGAAAATGGGCAACTAATAATACTACTATTAAGACGTGTTCCCAATTCTGTCTCTCTCTGTATAGATTAAAACAAAATAGTTCTTTTGATCAGAAGAAATACTGGTGCCAATAACATTCACCTTTGCATTTTAAATTAAAATTTGTCTATCAGCAAGATTTACAGTAACTTGAATGTTCTCAGTTTATTATATTATTAGATATTTTAGATTAATTTGAGTTTTATTTGATCTAATTAAGTTATTTTTTTTATAAAATACTATTTTCATCAGTGATTTAAAATAGTGATATGATCACGACCTTCAATCTGTTCCATGACTTTAGAGAAAGGAGGCTCTCGTGATAACTTATATCCGAATTTCTAATATCAGTGATTTAAAAGCGTGATATGATAACGACTTTCGGTTTGTCCGATGGCTACTGTAGGATAGTGATGGGCATTACGATTCTTTTTACTGAATCGAATCACACGATTCGATTTCTCATTGAATCTACTCCTACGATTATGCACAATTTACGTTTCATAAAAACAAGAATCGTAACTGGCACTATCGGCGATAATTTGGTCTGACAATTATTGAAGGGACCAGAAAAAGAAATATATAGTTCTTTCATTTGTTTTGCAACACTTTGGGCACTGGCGGGCGTAATTGGATTGATTATTTTACAAATAATATTAAATTATCAATCCAATTCATATACAGGGTGTCCCACAATTAGTGCGACAAACTGAAAGGGGTTGTAGAGGGCATCAAAACAAGTCATTTGAGTATAGGAACCCATGTCCGGAAATGTGCCGTTTTGGCAGGAGGTAGAGTGAAACGTAAATTTCAAGTTGCATTATTTATTCAAAACATTTACAAACACTGCTCAAAGTGCCGTCCATTCTGTTGAAGACACAAATGCACACGCCAGTTCGCTGTTGATAGTAGGGCGTGCAGTCCGTGTTGGTACCTTAGTGCACGTCCAGTCAAGTTCCTTCCGCTCATTTTAATAATACCGGACATTACTCGGTTCCTATACTCAAATGACTTGTTTTGATGCCCTCTACAACCCCTTTCAGTTTGTCGCACTAATTGTGGGACACCCTGTATACCATTTATTAAAGACTTCTTAATACCATTTTAATATTTTACCATGTTTTAATTCCGATTTAATAATCATATAATAAATAATATATAATATCCTATGATCAAAAAAATGGCGTCCAGTTGGCTTGGAACTGAACATCGATGACATTCCCCATATAATTTTAAAATGACAGCGATCTTCATTTCATAGCCATCTGATGCCGTTTTTTTATCATGTTGAGCAGAGGCCAATAATATTTATATGAAGTTGCATAAAAATACGATTTCGTCTTTTAGTTCCACATTTAATTTTAACAAAAATATTAACGTAAACATTTTTCTTGTAAATAACTTTCTTATCGTTTGGGTTTTATACCCATGATGTTTGTTTAGGGCTTTTGCTCAAGTCTAAATATTGATGCCCGACTCTCTCTATGCCTATATCACCACCGCGCCCAATAATCGCATTGTGATCCGATTCAATTCTTACAACTCTTTTTTACGGCTCATCGTTCAAATTTTATAGATCCGTGTTGGCCACGATTCAATTGAACAAACCGGATTGTAAGCAATGAATCAATTCTCACGACTCTTTGAACGAACAAGCCGTAGAAACGAACGATTGCATTGTGATTCGATTCGGTTCTCACGATGCTTTTTTACAACTCGTTAGTTCAAATTTTATGGATGCTGAGTAGATAACCAGACAATTCGGTATGTAGCAGTATAATTCAAATTGTGATCGTATATCTAGATTAATATTATTAACAATGTATTATCGCCCACTCACCTTGTAAGTGCCTACAGCATGGGCACCATCGTATATAAAAAGATGATCATTACAGTCGAGTTGCAAGCCGTCGAAACGCAACATAAACCTTTGCAGTATCGAATGCGTTTGAAAGGTGATGACGCAATCCAAGTTTCGTTCGTTTTGACTCCACAACACAGCTCCGTCGATTTTTCTATAAAGCTGTTGCAAAAAGTGGTTCTTGCACAGCGTTTGCATTGAATCTGTAACAATAGAATATCTAGTTAGAGTACCAATAATTAAATGACACAAATATATTTCATATCAATTAAACTTCTAGTTACGTAATCGCGAGCGCAATTTTTAAATTCATTGTTGTCAACCATGATCATATTCGGCACCGGGCTGACTAACTGGAATTTAAATTTCGCACTGGGGATTCAAAATCTGAAGTTGCCATATTTATTTATTTATTTATTGATATTGTTATTCGTTTTGACACTTTAGATTTCTATAACGAGTTTCTGGTTTAAATAAATAGTGTTGTGATACTTTTAGCTTAAAAATGTTTCCTAGCAGACCGTGCTGTCGAATATTGTTCTTTTTAGAACATCCTTTAGTGCGAAGTGGACAAGATAATAAACCGGATAAAAAGTAATAATAAGCCGTAATAAGAAGTGGATAAGCTTAATAGCCGTAAAAAACTCATCGCAACTTTATTAGAATATTTTGAACGGGAAAGCGGTAGTAATGGCCTTTTATGTTCCTTAAGTTCTGTTAAAAAGGTGGGTTTTATTGATGTAAATAATAACTGTTTATATATTTATAATTAATTCATTTTTGTTTCCTAAAATATTTTGATTAAAAGAAAATATATAAAAGTGGGCAACGTGACTAAAAGTTTATTTGATATGAATTATAACTAATTAATCACTAATTAACAGTATTTGAAAATTACAAAATAAAGTGTATCCATAAATTGGAATGTTTGAAACATTTGCCTTCCCCATAAGAAGTTCTATTAAAAGTATTTATCATTAAAACCTTTATTGCATATATAACAAAAGTTTGAATACCCTTTTGAATACCTTATGTATTGTCTTTAATATTGGATATTCAGAAAATTAAAAAACATAATGGAAATATGTATTTTTAATGAGATTTGGGCTACTAAAATAACACTTAAAATATATTTTTTCCCAAAAAATTAAAAAGGATAGCCTCTAAAAGAAAAATAAAAGAGGCTTTTTTAATACAATCTAATAAAAATAAATGTATTGCTCATGCATCTGTAGATGTTAGTAATGTATGGCAATCGCTTCTCTGATTTTAAAGAACGTAACATAAATAAACATAACATACGTAAAAATTAAAAATAATCATACAGAAAGTTTAGGGCTTTTTGGTTTTACCTTATTAAGTAATTGTTATCAGGTAGTAATTGTTAATTTTGAAGTTTAACTTGATATATAATGTCATTTTAACAGAACGTCAACGATTTTTGGAGACGTATCTGTTTTAAAAAACTAAAGTGTTCTCGAATAGTTGAATTTAAATATTTTAAATAGTTTTTTCTTTATTCTTTGTATTTTTTTTGACGGAAAGAGATAAACTTTCCGAAACGTTAAGCAATTTTGTTCGTTAGGCAAATTTGTATATCTGTAAACCTAACTTCTGACAATTCTGTTTAGATTGACGCAGAAGTGTTTACAAAAAATAACCATTTTATTTTGTAGATTTCCTTGCAGTGGCGAAATACCCATATAGGATTTTTTGGAGAGATGAATCCGCCACATAAGTATAGATATATTTTTATTTTTTTCCTACTGGCAACAACTAACTTGAAACTAAAAGAATTTGGAACTTCCATTGTCTTTATTTTTGATTAACACCAAACCACAATGTTTCGGTCAGTAGATCCACTGACCGTTATCAAGTCAATTCTTAAACTGAGCTGTTATACTACAGCCAGACATTCACCCTTAAAAAAGTTGGAAAGCAGTCAACCGTGAGGTTGTCCATTTAGAATGTCTGCATTGGTGCCTTTTATCAGTGATTGTTATATGGTAGATATTTTTGTACTAGGATTGCTAAAAATGTTGTTATTGTTAGCAATAAAAACAGCTTCTTTAAATTTACGCTTTTTCCCATAAGGTTCCCTGTGGACAACCCGTACTTCTGATTTTATATTGTGCTGTTTTGACCAAACATGGTCCGCAATATCTGACTTCATTGTTTCACCTTTTTATATACAAAGGTTAGTCTGGGGTCGAGATTTCTGTATGTAAGAAGAGTACAATCCGTTTATATATATGTACTGAACAAAGAGAGAACAGTAAACACGTTGCCAAGCGTATGAAATAAACCGAGAAACTGTACACATTGCTAAGAGACGTGGAAGGGGATAAGCAGAATTGTCGCAGTTGACCGGTCGACCCAATCCCCAATCAGTATCTCTATCAGTATTTAAAGTTCTAGGGAGAGGTGTACATCATGCGTTCAGCTTCACGATTTAATTACGTCTCGTGGCATTATGTTTATTTATTAACGAATCGTTGTATTTTTTCCTATAGCTTAAAAATTTTTAAGTGCAAGTTAGAAACACTTGCATTTTTGCTAAAAATAAGTGGAATTGAGTTAGTGTTCGACAGTGATTGCGCTATTAGAACTCTGAATTCAAAAATCAATATCTCGAAATCTATTAGAAATAATTGATTGTAGTTTTTTTCAATAATTTCCTTAATATTTCTGCTATATTTTCTTCGCAGACAGTATATAAATAAAAAAGTTACACGATTGCTGAAAATTGCTATGCACTAAAAGTAAATGGATGAGTTATTTAAAATTTTTGAATGGAAAAGAGGCAACCATGTCGAACTTTTCTTATTTAAACATATTGTAAAAGGTCCGATCTTCAAAATAAAAAAAAGTTTCTAAAGTGGTTCTTAAGTTATGACGTGTTATGTGTTAAAAAGTTGAGTTTTTAAATTATCGCGATTACTGACGTTTTCTCGTTATAAAAAAATGGACACCTTAACGATATCCTTATAATTTCATTTCAGATGCTCAGACACATATCTAATGATTTTATCTAGTTATCTTTTCGAAAAAAGTCTTTTAAAAATAAGCCGTTTGAGATCGTGATTTTACTTTACTGGATAGGGAAATGCATACCGGCAACGCCGCAACAGCCAGACCGTCGCATTTCTCTCACTCCGACTTAATAAGATCCCTATGCGATTTACTTCCACACATGTAAATACCGACCCAAAAATAACAGTTGCCAGCACGGTATGCTTTTTGTGCTCGCTAAGTCTTACATTTATAGAACGTTTAATCTCTCCAATATACGACTCGTTACATTCACAAAATGCCTGGTAGATACCTGGTAATTGCCATTTCTCTTGTTTCAATATTTCCGGTCTTGTTTTCAAGGGTGGATTTACAGGTGAATGCCTAGTTAATAGCCTAGTTTATAAATAGAATAAAAAGACAATGAAAGACCGAAATTCTTTTAGTTTCGATACTGAATCATTGTCTACCACATTCAAAGTAGCAACTTACAAAACCTTTCGTAATATTGTTTTTTTTTTACTAATAAAATAGGTTTTTATTATGGTTCCTGCGGTATGCCGCTAATTATAATATGAAAATAAACCATACAGTATATATTATTAATAATAAAAATATTTGTATAGAAAATATTGGCTTAAATGATTTTTAACATTAATTGATGATGACTGATTGATGATCGAAATAATCAGCCAACTCGAAATTGCATGTCGGGGCCTAGCCTAAATCCATCTAAAATTAATTTATTTAATCACAAACAATTGACTTTATTTTAAATGCTAAATCTATAAATAAACATAATCGCCTTAAAATATCTATAAGCAATAAATCATCTTTTTTAGTTTGATTGACTTAATATATTCTAAAAAAACCGTTCCGTATAATTTGTCAAAACTTGGCAAAAAATATCAATAGGGACGACAAAATGTTCCAACGAATAACCTTCAGAGTTCGATACAAATGGCAAGTTTCCATTCATTCGCCATGATTGGATAATATCGTTATAGCTTAGCGTTACACAATAAGGTATTGAACCATTTTCAGGTTACGAAAAAAATTATAATCATTTACAAAAAAACTTTTTTAAAGAATAATTTTATAGCTAAATTTACATAATATAAAATATTCACTCACTCGATTAGTTATTTATAAAATAATGGTTCGTTATATATTTAATATTGATCAACGTACAATCCAAATATAATAAAATATTTATTTTAAATACATTAATTTGATATGTCGTAATATTTTCTGCCTGCCAGTGTACCACTTAAATTTAGATTAATGTATGTATTTTCATAATTCATAACTTATTAGATTATGATTGGCCGTTTCTTATTGATTGTTCCAAAAAATAAAATATCAAAAAAAAAATAGCAAAAACATTTGACAACGATATGACTTGGCAAAGATATTGAGAAAACCAGTTTTGTTAAAAATGAATAGAATTAAACGGAAAACCTGAGTAATTTAGCATCCCGCAGATCAGGAAAGGGAGAAGGACCTCAAACGATCAACCGAAATCGCATAATACATGAGAACAGCCTTTAAAAAATATTATAAAAATGAATTACCAGGGCACAAAAGTTAGGCCGTTGCCACTGAAGAGTTATTTCAAAATAACCGGTTTTCAAAATAATCTTTCATTTTCAAAAAGTTTTTCCATCCAAAGATGTTTTTTAATATTTGTTTTCTAAAAACGTTTTATGTGTATAATATTTGATATTAAAATTATTTGAAACTTAACTTTTATTTTTAATTGATTTTTTAAGCGACAGATACCACTAAAAAATGTAGTTGTCTAAGAACCTTTAATACAAACTCAGCTCAACACTCGATATTAAAAATATACATGAAGGAAGTACAGATAGAGATTAATAGTCACATTAAAAACCAATTATGCTATTTAAAATGAAAATAATTAAAAATGTTATATTGTAAAAATATCAGATTCATAAACGACTTCATTGAATTCATAATGTATTAGATCATGATTGACCGTTCCTTATTAATTATTCAAAAATGTGATTAGTCAAAGGTTTAAACTTTGACACATAATGGACACATCAGTCATTACACCGTGCTGGCAACTGTTACTTTTGGGTCGGCATTTACATGCGTGGAAGTAAATCGGATAGGGATCTTATTAAGTCGGAGTGAGAGAAATGCTACGGTGTGCTGTTGCGGCGTTGCCTGTACGCCTTTCCCTATCGAGTAAAGTAAAATCACGATCGCATAAACCGCTTATTTTTAAAAGATTTTTTTTTCAAGAGATAACTAGATAAAATTATTAGACATATTTCTGAGCATCTGAAATGGAATTATAAGGATATCGTTAGGGTAACATTTTTTTATAACGAGAAAACGTCAGTAATCGCGATAATTTAAAAACTCAACTTTTTAACACATAACAGGCCATAACTCAAGAACCACTTTAGATATTGAAACTTTTTTTATTTTCAAGATCGAATATTTTAAAATATGTTTAAATAAGAAAAATTCGATAAGGCTGTTTTTTCCATTCAAAAATTATAAACAATCCATCTATTTACTTTTAGAGTATAGCAATTTTCAGCAATCGTGTTATTTTTTTATTGATAAAGATTTTCACATACTGTCTATAAAGAAAATACAGCAAAAATATTAACAAAGTTCTTGAAAAACGACAATCTATTATTTCTAATAGATTTCGAGATATCGATTTTTGAATTCAGAGTTCCAATAGCGCGACCACTATCGAACACCCACTCAACTCCAGCTAAAAATGCAATATCAGCAAATGTCAACATACCTTAAGTTGTGAACCTACAATAATTGAATACAATTTGCTGTGTTGTCTACACTACTATGCTATAGTACCTACGATTAGTGTGCCCGACATGTATTTTTCTAACTTCAAACTTGTTCAAATTAGACAAAAGCCTTTAAGTTTTAGGAAATATAATTTGTCATTGACAAACTTATAACTTGACAACTGACAGTATTGTGACGACTTTTCTGTCGTTACCCAAATAGAATGAAAAAAGAATCCGTTGCTCAGGGTTAGAGGAAAGCTGGGTTCGTAGGTAAGGCTTCTGACTCACAGTGACTTTCTAATGTTGTTAAAAAATAAAAAAAATGATAACATATTTAGGCTGCAGAGATTTTAATATTGATGTTAAGAATTCAAATAGGTATGGTCAAAGACAGTGAAAAGGGCGCCACTTACTTTGTTTATGAGAGTGGTAAAGTAAGAAACCAAAAAGAAAATACGATATCACAACATAGCTAAAATAAAGTAATCAACAGCATTAAGGGTCTATTATGTTTATCAGAATAAAAAGTCAGAAATAACTATCCTACATTAAACGTTTATTGAAAACGAACACAAGTATCATCAATTAGTCACAGTGATCCCAATAAAACCGCAAGTTATTTTAAATAGATTCGAATTTAGTAACTGTATTCTTTGAACTAAGTAAGCTACTTAATATAAAAACAGGTGAAATTTATGTATGTCTCAATACGATGATGTTTCGAAACATGTCGTGTACAAAAACCTTTAAAATGAATACGTGTTAATAATTTTCATATAAAATATCATAGCTAAGCAAGAGTGTACTGTACGAATCAAATTATAACTTATAACGTTAAATAAAAATAATTTTTACTACAATATGTGGGATAAATAGTGATAATTTACCAGGTTATTAAATCTGTTGTCTCAAAAATTATAAAATAAAAGCGTACCTTGTGTATCAAACTTAAGACTTATCTGTACATAGTTTCTTATGATGTAAACAGGTAGGTAGGTATTCTCCAGACTAACAGAAGTGGAGGCAGATGACTATGGCAGGAGAAGTCTTCGCTATCAGCCAAAAGAACGATTGTAATGTCAGGAACATTTTCTTAAGGTCTGTATAGGTCCATACAAAATGAAAGTGGGTGGAACATACAATAATTACTGCATTATTACTGCATACCATGTGGTAATTACTGAGTACCAGGTGGTAGTTTTACTTAATATCATGTGGTACTTTTACTGAGTACCAGGTGGTAGTTACTGAGTACAATGTGGTAGTTACTGAGTACCATGTGGCAGTTACTTAATATCATGTGGTACTTTTACTCTATAAATAAAAAATAGTTCTCAGGACAGATACTAAATAAAAAAAAAACAAC